TTGGGTGATTCTCACCCTTAGATGTAGCTCAGTTTGTGCACAGTTTAAGTGATGTATGGTAAAAACAAAAAGAGGATCATGATGAACTCTTCACAGGTTTCATATTTCACACTCACTGCCTACCTCGACAGCGGGGCTTTGAAATATTTATATTTCACAGTTGTTGCATTTTTATATATTGTTATTGTTACTGCCAACGTCCTGCTGATTGTGGTTATCTGTGTGAACAGAAGCTTACATGAACCTATGTACATGTTTCTGTGCAGCCTGTTTGTGAATGAGCTGTATGGTAGCACAGGGCTGTTTCCGTTCCTCCTGCTTCAGATCCTCTCTGATGTTCACACTGTTTCTGCTCCTCTGTGCTTCCTGCAGATCTTCTGTCTCTACACGTATGGACACGTAGAGTTTTGTAATTTAGCCGTCATGTCTTATGACAGATATCTCGCTGTCTGTTATCCCCTGCACTACAAATCACATATGACAGATAACAAAGTAGTTATCTTCATTGTTGTCATATGGTTGTACTCTTTTGTGAAATTTACGATCACGTTGTGTTTAACCCTCCATCTGACGTGGTGTGGGAAAATCATCAATGGGCTGTATTGCCATAACTACCTAGTTGTAAAGTTGGCATGTTCAGACACCAACCTGAATAATCTTTTTGGGCTTTTTGGTATTGTCATCACTGTTTTAGTTCCTCTGCTTCCAATCTTCTACTCCTACATGAAAATACTCAAAGTGTGTTTTTCTGGGTCCAGACAGATGAGACGTAAAGCCGTCAGTACCTGTGTGCCTCACCTGGCCTCCCTCCTAAACTTTTCTTTTGGGTGTTTATTTGAAATACTCCAGAGCAGGTTTGATACGACCAGTGTACCCAGTGCTCTGCGAATCTTTCTGTCTCTGTATTTCCTCATCATTCAACCGCTTTTGAATCCGATCATGTATGGGACACAAATGTCTAAAATAAGACATGTGCTGTGCTATAAAATGTAGCTGTGATTCTTACACAGGCAGGATGTTTAAATTCAAGTTTGAAGTCCTAAACTTTTCTTTTGGATGTTTGAAAAACTTCTGAGCAGACTTCACACGACAATGTGTTTTGACTCACTCTGTACTTCTGATCATGTATACAAATGCCCAGCATCTAAAACAATATGATCAAGTCTCCTTCCTCTAAAATTTAGGCCATCCGTGTAGCTGTGATTTTTCATATGTCTAAGATGTTCAGTATAATACATAACCACGCCACTGTCATAATAGTTTCATGTTAATAAAGTTTTTTTTATCTTGATGGTTAAAGAGTTGTTTTTATGAAGTGAACTGATATAAACCTCACAAAAAGAAAAGCATTAGGTAAAAACGTAAGCCGGAGAGAAATCCTTTCTGTTGTAGTTACTGTCACTGAATTATGGTAAAACAAAAACAGATAAATTAGAACAACAGAAATAAACACTGTTTGAAAAAGATTACTTTGCTGTGGTTATCTTAATTAAACACTTTGCTAAAATATCACATGTGGCTTCCTTTTTTGTCCTTCCCACGAGCTGGGACTTTGTTGAAGTGGTCATTTCTGGTTTCATTTGTTAGGCTATCCCCTCTCTATGCCTTCTCCAATTT